ATATAAAATCCTTGCCAGTTCCTAAAATTTTCCCATTGTTTTCTGACTTGACATTGTTTTTCAGAAAGTTGACCATGACATCTAACCCTGAAAGTGCTCCAGAGTCAACTCTGCACCTGCAGCATGGATAAGAAGATTATGGCATGGTAGTGTTCCTCAATGATCCATCACTACTGTGTCTGTTTAAAGCCATAAGGGCATTGTGGTACTATGTCCCATTTGAAGGCCCAAAACAGGAAAAGGTTAAATTCCAACGGCATTTGATAGACAATACTAATTTAGAACTTCCCTAAAAATAGGGGGGGGGGGGCTTAAAAATGTCCTTAAGTGGGAAAATAACGAGTATTAGACCCCGTTCTCACTCACTTCGTTGGAGGGAGCGCTCTGGAGCGCTCTAACTTAGACCCGCTCCTCAGGAGCGGTTCTTAGGTGAGTGAGAACGCTCAAAGTGGTCCAGGAAGCGGACTTCTGGACCGCTCCAGAAGTCCACCTTCCGAGGTGGTCTTGAGGAGCGGGTCTTATTAAGAGCGCTCCAGAGCGCTCTAACGTGCAATGTGAACGGAAAGCGTACTTTGAACGGAAGTGAGCTAGTGACCTTCAGTGCGAAACATGTAGTACGGTACATACGGTTTGTATTCCGCGCGCGAAAAAATTGACCCGCCTACCTGAGCTGCCATAGCAACAAGACCACTTTGACTCGTGGGGCGGTTTGAGCCATAAAAACTGCTCGGAGTGTGAACGCTCGCAAACCGTTCCTCAAGACCCGTTCCTCTGGAGCGGTCTGGAGCGGTCTAACTAAGACCACTTTCAAAGTGAGTGAGAACGGGGTCTTAGTTGTCAAATCGACTTTGGAGCTATAGAGCCAGTAAGTAATAGTCTGATTTTTCAGACCATTGTACCGAATGGTCGTACGTTTTATGCTGTGCAAAGATTCAATCAGTTTAATTTTCGCCAACAAGAAGTGGGTTATTGATGTAGACAAATGCTCATGTACCCTTTACAACTCATTTTATGTATGTCATTACCAAAGATGAAACATGCCGGTCAGTCACTCAATAGTCATTTAAATGTTAGCAGTGTCCTTATATTCAAATTATGCAAGAAAATCCTTTACTTACTAGACTTCACTGTCAGACCCTATTGTCAGTATTGAGTGACTGACTGGCTTTTTCTTCTTCTTTGGTTATAACATACATAAAATGAGCTGTAAAGGATTTTTCTACTACTAGTAGTCCCACTTCTTGTATTGGCCAAAATTAAACTGATTGAATCTTTGCGCAGCATAAAACGTATGACATGCGGTACAATGGTCAGAAAATCAAGACTATTACTTATTGGCTCTATAGCTCCTAAGTCGATTTGACAACTATTAGTCATTATTTTCCCACTTAAAGACATTTTCAAGCCCCATTCTTTTAAGGGGAGTTCAAAATTAGTATTATCTCTCAAATGCCATTAGAATTTAACCTTTTCATTTTTTTGGCCTGCAAAAGGGACATAGTACCTTTACTATGTCCCATTTGCAGGCCAAAAAAATGAAAAAGTTAAATTCCAACTGCATTTGAAAGATAATAATAATTTAGAACTTCCCTAAAAAAGGTGGGGCTTAAAAATGTCTTCAAGTGGGAAAATAACGACTATTAGTTGTCGAATCGACTTTAGGGCTATAGAGCCCAAAAGTAATAGTCTTTATTTTCAGACAATTGTACCGAATGGTCATACGTTTTATGCTGCGCAAAGATTCAATCAGTTTAATCTTGTCCATCACAAGAAGTGGGTTATGATGTAGACAAATGCTCATGTACCTTTTACAACTCTTTTCATGTATGTTATTACCAAAGAAGAAAAAATGCCAGTCAGTCACTCAATAGTGTCTGACAGTGAAGTCTAGCAAGTAAACGGGTTTTCTTGCATAATTTGAATATGAGGACACTGCTAACGTTTAAATTTCACAGATAGGACATACATGACATATTCATAATTCCTGCAAAGTTCTACAGAATTTGAGGTTGGCTGCAAAAGGGACATAGTACCTTCAAGATAGTAAATGAATTCCAATTTCTCTGACACTTTACTCAAGTTTTGCAAGGCTACAACTTCCTATTCCTTCTGGCTCTCAACACATGATTTGATCCACAGCAAACTTGGGGATTGTATTATTTCTAGCTGCTCACGACCAGAAAGGTATTCACTCACATCTAACACAAAATTACCCCCTTTTATGGTTTTCTACAAACGATCTGAGCCGCAAGAAAGTTGAGGATTGTATCATTCATTTTCCACCATGACTCATGGATGGTTTGTGGCATCTGCCACCCATCACAATGCTTGATACACCATGTGCTCCAGCACACAACCAATCATATCATGATCTTAGTAAACAACAGTCGCATACTTTTTTGGTCAATACGTTGAGTCAGAAACAAAAGTTTGAAGAATAACAACAGAATTGGATCATAGCATCAACATGTATGTGTAGGAACCTGGATATCATTACCTATGATCATGAAAAAGGGTTATAATTTTACTTTCTATACACATAATATTAATCATGCAAGAAGGTCACTGACAGGTGGCTATCACATCAACTCAGCTCTCGATCAACTAATATAAGAAGAGTATCATGGAAGACCAACAGGCACCGATTGGGGAAGTTTCTATGTAGAGGGAGCATATGTAACTACAAGTAGGATAGTGGGGCTTTAAATCTGCAGAAAAGTTGTAAAAGGGAGACTAAGCTCTAGACCTCCATTGAACTCTTGAACTCTGATACACAGACTGCAAGGAGCAGAAGTCAACAGAACAATAGGTCACAAACAAACATCAAGCAATGTCGAAAAGATACTGCCATCAAGTTCACCAGAAGTTTAATAAGTGTGCTGACAGTCAGTAAAGACGGTAAGTGGAAGGCTATAGGGGCAAGTTTGTCTGAAACTGCTACTGTGCCTAGCCTCTTGCTCTAAAACTCCGATGTTGTTAACAAAAACAAAAAATTGTGGTGGATGATACTTCTCCAAAGTTCTCGGTTTGCTACATATCTCTTCTTTTTATTTCTATGATCTTCATGTCACTTTGATCAATACTTTAAGTGCAAAGATACAATTGCTCCCGTCCGGCTGCCTGCAAAATGTTCACAAAGCTCAGTAGTATCATATCAAATCTTAAAGATTATTCGTAAAATAATATTTAGCCCTCCACAGATTACTTTATTGGATGAGAGTCAAATTACAAAGAAACAAACATAAAATTATATGTTTGACCCCGTTCTCATTCACTTCGTTGGAGCGGTCTAACTAAGACCCGTTCCTCAGGAGCAGTTCTTAGGTGAGTGAGAACGGTCTAAGTGGTCCAGGAAGTGGACTTCTGGACCGCTCCAGAAGACCACCTCAGGAGGTGGTCTTGAGAAACGGGTCTTATTAAGAGCGGTTTGGACCGCTCTAACGTGCAATGTAAACGGAAGCGTACTTTGACCGGAAGTGAGCTAGTGACGTTCCGTGCGAAACATGTCGTACGGTACATACGGTTTGTATTCCGCGCGCGAAAAATTGACCTGCTGACCTTAGCTGCCATAGCAACAAGACCACTTTGACTCGTGGAGCGGTTTGAGCCATAAAAAACTGCTCAGAGTGTGAACGCTCGCAAACCGTTCCTCAAGACCCGTTCCTCTGGAGCGGTCTAACTAAGACCACTTTCAAAGTGAGTGAGAACGGGGTCAAAGACTCACTTGGTTACAAGGTGATTCTCTCATTTATGTTGGTACAAATAAAAATTGAAATGGCTGCTACGAATAACAAATTTCATATACAGTACATACCAGATAAATTATAAATATATCCTTCATCTTCATGTTTGAGAGATAGTAGTCAACTACCGGTACTGCAATTTTTAGATTCAGTATAATTATTTAAAGGCCCACCACACTACTTGTAGCTTCTTGCGCCCTCTATATAACAAACAATGCCTAATCGGTGACCATTGGTCCCCCATGATCCTCTTTTTCTTATGTTAATTGAGAGCTGAGTTGATGAGATAACCACCTGTCCAGTGACCTTGCAGGGCGGTCTAATCCCTCCTTTAAACTAGTACAGATAAGCTTTAAGTAAATCATTTTTTCTCCAAATGAGTTAGATATATATACAAAAGTGAGATAATGCCACCACAAAAAAGTGACCGATTTCCCAGTAGCCTACACTAACTCTCATCCAACAAAGATGCACAATATAACTAAAGATTAAAGAATGATTCATCGGTTGCACAATTTTCTTGCCTAACTGAACAAACGATTCATGCCACTTCATCATTTCTTATTGCCAATTTGCCACGAGCTCATCTCAATAGAAAAAAGAAATAAACAACTTGAAACAGGTTTTCAATTAGTTAGTGTTGTGCACTGTTGGATGATTTTCATTTGAATTCATGTTGTGTGATTGTGCAGAAAGGCATGATTTCTTTTGAAATACTGATACATTTTATTTGATTTATAAATAGTTCAATCCATTCACCAGTCCCACCATGTATAAAACACTGTACACCATTAATACATGTACATCATTGTGCCAGAGTGTGGTGCACTGTATACGGCGCTACGTGGGGTCCATCTAAAAATGACAAATCAATAAAATATCAATTTTCTTTATCTTTCTATTTTCATTACGAGATTCAGTCTAATGAAGTAGCCAATAAATTATGCATTACATTGTATGAAATTATCCATGTATTAGGATAGGGGTAATGTGAAAGATTTTTAGTACAAATCGTCCTTGTTTTCACGAAGTGACGGTAGTGAAGTAAATCGTAACGCAAAGTGAATGCAATTTTTGTTCACTACCGTCACTTCGTGAAAACAGCGACGAAATGTATGCATAATTACATGTATTATATCCTTCAAGAATCCTTTAGATTTGTTCACAAAGTTGTTTTTTTTAAATAATATTAATTGTTGCTTGTAAGTATCGGCTTGCATGGTGGATTGAGGAGTCCTGAAAAAGGACTCTCGGTAATCTTTCTTGAGGGTGTGTAGTCTTGAAAAAGACTGTTGGTTATCTTTCTTAGCTTATAGTTCTCCTTAGAACTATAAGCTAAAAAAGATAACCAATTTTTTTTCAAGACTACACAAACAGTCCTTTTTAGAATTACACACCCTCAAGAAAGATTACACAGAGTCCTTTTCAGGACTCCTCAATCCTCCCTCTCTCTCTCTCTCTCACATGGTGCACCCGCAAGCCTTCTGTATAATATTAATTGTATTAAATAGTATGAGAGACCTGTTTATAAAGACTGTTCAAATAAGACAAGAAGAGCTACATGTATCTTTAAAGGCAGGTGGTCGTTATGTACAGATGTTAAGCAATGTTTTCATAAGAAGCACCATTCAAGGAAAGCAGCAATTTGCAACAATCCTCATAGGCAGATGGTCTTTCTATACAGGTGGTCACTATAGGGCAGGTGTGACTGTGACTGATAAGTGATAACTTTTTAGTGCCAAAGGAACACTAAATCATATCAATCCCCAATGGCATGTTTGGATGGGGGCACACCCAGCACATGCTAGTTGTGCCCCCGTCTTGAAACCTGCATGTAAGTTGCATACCTAGCTTTGATACGCATAAATTCAAAAATGTGCCCCTCCCCTTTTTTAAGTGATGATTGTTCTCCTTGTCAAGGAACTTGTCAAGGGATTTTGAAAGAAAAAGGCAGCAGAAATTCATAAGTATTGTTTTGCTTGTGGTTGCTCTTTGGGAATATTGTGCCCCCTCTTTTAAAAGATCTGGAACCTGCCCCCGTCTATGGCTCTTAACAGACATTATAATGCTGTGAGAGATACAGAGGATTCTATTGCAGCATACTCTCCTACTTCACCTCGTACTTGCTACCTGTGCATGTTGTAGCTACCTGTACCAGCTACCAATCAATCAATACATTACCCATCAGTCTATTTTCAGACATGACACAATGCAATAAGCCACCTCACATGCAACATCGTCATTTTCTATTCAGCTTCACGGCTTGCTTCATTACACTGGCATTTGAACCCCTTTCGTACATGCACGCACATGCATGAAATGGTGAGATGGTTGGATAATAGAAGACCTGTTGATGCAATGACTTGCTGTTTGCTGGTAGATCTATTCAATGAAAAGTATGGATAAATGCCCTTTTTCCTCTTTATTTTCTTTGTTAACATGAATAACATCAAGTTATGGGAGCCAGCGAGAAACTTCTATTGTGACGATTGCTCAACATCAAGTTCCTACACTATTGAACCAACCCTGGATCTAACACTACACCTAACCTAATGTCCCTACCCCTAAACTCAACCAAAGAACCAATAGCAACCCTAATCCTTACCCTATACCTTTGTTGCAAAAAAACGGTTTATTAATATATTCAAATGCATGGATTTTTCTTTCCTGGGGACCAATAGTGATGAGTTATTCCATTAACCTGTTATTAACGAATGAACTACAGTACTTTAAATCCAATCTGTGTACAAGTACATAACACGTTGCTATGTCGGGCAAGTTGTATTGTGATTACCGAGAATCATACAGTGGCTCAAAGGACAGTCTAGAGAGGATTAATCATTACCTATCATATCCTGTAAGGATCAGAATAGGATTAACCAAAAGGATTAGATTAGCATTAACTTTGACTGACACATTAGGGGTCTTCATCGCATGGGTCAGGTCCAGTGAGCGTTGATTCGCAGAAATCGAGGGTCAGTATATAGTATTAGTCAGTATGGCCCTAGAGGACACAGCCCTGCAAATACACAATAATCTAAAACCAGAATTATTGCAACATAAATCTTTCGATAACTATCCCCCCCCCCCCCCCCCCCTCTCATCAAGGAACTCAAAGGAATTGCAAAATCTCAGTGTTGTATGCACTCTTGCACTCATTTCTGTTTTTTCTCCTAAGACATTTTTCCCTAAGTGTGTTTTCCCTTGGGGCACTACTCAAAATATATCACAGATAGCAGATTAATACAGACCCTCCTGAGTCATATTTTGTGAAAGTTTGAAATTCTAGTTATTTTTGTGTGATGGAACATTGTCCAACACTACATCAAAGAGCCGATACTGACTCAACCAATTTGAAGAGCCTGTACCAATAGTGATTTCATCTTTCAAAAACTCATAACTTTTTAATTTATTTCTCTTATTTCATTCAAACTTTCTCCAGTCTACTTCTCTGATTTGTCTGCTTCCTTCTAGAGTAACGGTAGTTAGCCATCAAGATTGGATTTCCCTTTAACCCCTTGCCAACTGGAACCAGGTGGTTCCTGTATCAAACCTATTGGTAACATGGTAATTCGGTAGTCAGTGGATTAATCCTTTGCCTAAGTCTGGATGGACCCTGTATTAAACCTAAGGGACTTTCACAATGCAGCAGTCAACAGATTAACTTCAAATATTCAGGATCTCTCAAGCACCCCTTGACACTAATAGCTTGTTTGCGCTGGTTAAGTTCTGGGAGTGATGTCATGATGACATCAGACCTGAATCAGCCTGTGATGTGACAGTTGCACTCCCTGTTTGGCATTGGCTTGTCTCACTGAGTGACGGGAGGAAACAGATAGAATATGAGAAATCAGCCAATCTCATGAATTCTGGCCCGGACGAGGATGATGCATATACGGAAAAACAGGAGGTTTGTCATAGAATGATCACGGCACCCCCGGAGTAGTTTGTCATAGCGAGTCCTCCTCGTCCGTTGGTACATGCCAGAAACCAATGGATGGATGGAGTCAGTTTTGAACCCTGAACCTGTATTGCAAAGGTCGGTGGATGAAACCTCTGTGTCACTATTCATAAAAAAAACTACGAGTTGAGTTTAAAACGATATGGACTAAGCATGAGATTAAAGCTTGTATAGAGGTTTACATGTGAATCCACTGCTCAAAACCACTGATAAGTCAAAAATCTGACATCAGAGCATATGAAATAGGAGAAAAAGTGTGATTTTGATGAATGGATGGGAGATGTCCCTCCCTCTATCTCTCTTTCCCTTCCTTCCTACGAATCCTACCCCCCCCCCCTCTCTCTCTCTCTCTCTCTCTCTCTCTCTCTCTTTCTCTCTCTCTATCTATCTATCTGTCTCTATCTCTCTCTCCCTCCCTTTCGTCCTACTATACCTCGCTCCCTCTCTCTCTCTCTCTCTCTCTCTCTCTTTATCTCTCACGTTATATGTCCTTCCTTCAGTTTCCTGTGCATTATGATCCAACTTGAACTACCTACCAACAAATTTGTCACTCCAACAAGGTTCCTCCCTGGCAACTCCAAAACAATGTTTATTTGTTATTCCACGTGGGTTCCATATAGGCTTAATGAACCCATGATTCATAAGGTGGAAACCACTGAAATATGGTGAGATAATGAGCAATAAACAATGGGATCTATTCTCTGACTTTTGATCTCCAAAGATGACTTCATTATCGCCTGTGACCATGAGTAATCAAGGGGTGCCGGCCTTGGTTTTGAATGTTTATATGATGGTCTGGGGACAGGTCTAGTTGGTACAACAATGAATCAGAAATTATAAACTTGTGATGTTTTAACATCCTGCCCAACTTTGGCTAAATGCCAATTAATTGATTTTAACTTTTTTGAGTGTGGGATGGCCTTCAGAGGTCTGGATGTAAACAAATGCACTACTCTGGAAAATACCAAATATGAAAGGAGTTCCTAACAACATCTCGAGATGATTAAAAATGGTTGTTTAAAAATCTAATAGAAAACTGCATTTGTGTGGGTACTTCAATAATCAAGTAAATGGTACTTACAAGTTAGTTTTCAGGAGTTCCTCTTCATCAGATTGTTAAATTTGCTAGTATAAAAGTGATACTCACTCCAAGTGATTTTCATGTTGTTGTTTTTTTTAAACTAGTTTTAGCCTGGAAGTTTTGTTTTATCCACGATGTTCATACAGTCTGTTCAGAGCCAGTCTAGCCAGGAGGGTATTACTGTAAGTCTGTGTTATTGTATATGAGTTAACAACACCCTTTTGGTTCCAAACTGACAAGAGCCTATACATGTATGCATACAGTCATGTATAGTGCCATAACTTCACTCACAAGTTACTTCATGTACATAAAGATCTACATGCCATCTGCTGAGTGCCAGAAGGTTGTTATAACTCTGGCCTTAGCTCTACTATAGTACTATAGTCCTTCTCACTCTCAATAGATGTTTGCATCCTGGGTACAGAACACAAAACATGGAAGCCAAAACCCAAAATTTCCCAAATGAAGTCTAGTCTCATGAAGAAGAAAGAATACTTCCCAGCATTTTTAACATCTCATAAAATCATGCACACCAAATAAAAATGCTTAAGGTTTTTTTAATTAATTGTTTAATATCTGTATAATAATATTATTCCTGTACATGATAATAATTCCTATACTAAGTCTCCTTCAATATGTGGGAAATGAAATACCAAGGCCATTATATTACACACTTTTACATTGAAAGGGCATGAACGCAAAATGGAAACATCTAGTTAGGGTATGAGGAGTAGACTAGCACTGAGTGGCAAATGAGAGATGACCTACAAATTTCCTTCAGCGCTATGACTCATCACTCAAATATGTATTGCACAGCTGTGTGTGTGTACTGTGTGTGTATGGATGTATTCAGGGGAACCTGTGCGTGCCTAGTCTCTATTCTAAACCCTTTTCCAACTCCTTCCAGCAAAGATTTCATTCATATTGAAGAAGACATTTGAAAGTATACATACATTATCATTTATAGGTCCAAGTGCAAAACTTACCTAAATAAGAATGCAGAAAAGAGCCTTTTTCTTGCTCTGTGCTTCAAGACTATATATTTTTCTCAACTGCGGCTGAGATTAAATAAAGTCTGCGATTTACAGACTATTTCATAATAGCATAGATACAGGCACATTTTGTTGGGCAGGAGATAAAACGTTGAAAGAATTGTACCTGAAAATTATCATTGAATTATGTACAATATACATGTACATGGTGGCTTTTAATGCACAGTGACAAATTTACTGGGGAGTATGGCAATAAAGCGCTATATATTACAGGCATATTGCTGTTGAGAGCCAGAAGGAAAGTAACAAAACTTGGTAGAGA